TGTGTGTAACGTCAAATCAAATCTGACTGGTACAGGAGGAGATTGTTCCTCCTCCAGCAGAGCATCTGGTGGATTTGAACCGTGCACCTCTGGGATTGCAGTACACCTTCTTGCCACTAGGCCACTATTTATTTTTTTTTAAGAGATAAGAACAATAATGCAAAACTTGAGCAGTCTGGAGGGGTTTTGTTTGATTTTTGAAAATGTATAACAAATTCTCAACTATTTCAGAGTGTGGCGTACAAGTAAATAGTAAGTAGAAAGACTTAAGTTTCTCATGGAAGGAAAACTTAATCATACTGAGTTTAAATTTGAATACATGTTTTAAAAAGTTTTTTAGGTTTTAGGCTATATAACTCAATGTAAGATGATGCACAGCTGTCTGTGCTCTGAGCTTTGATTCACATGAATACCAATTGTGAGAAACAACATTTTGTGGTTAGATTTCATACACTCTAAACATCTCTGAATAATTGTGAAAAAGACTTAAAAAAAAGACTTAAAAGTGGAGTTGAAAAATTTTGTGTAGCTATTCACTTAAAAATGAGGTTCAAGACCTGTAGTTTTGTTGTTAAGTGCCGTCGATTCGCAGGTGACTCATAGCGACCCTATGAAGGAGAGTCCTTGATGCTTGGGGTTCAAGACCTAAATAATCAGAATATCCTTGTTTGTAACAGGGATTCTTCTCATCATAAAAAATGTTAATTGAATATGCTAAATACTTTGGTTGAAACTTAGGCCAAATAAAATCCATTTGGAATTACAGTAAGTTATTGTCAATGATAGAGAATTTTTTTTTTTTGATAGAGAATTCTTATATCCTCATTGCCAGTCCCTTTCTTTTCTAGAGAAGGAGATAAGTCTGGGATGGAGTTCTCTCTGTCCCTGATAACTTGCCTCTTGCTAGGATGGTGAACAAAATGTCCCCAGAACTACTAGACTAAGGTGGACCAGGAAGAAAGGCCTGGCCATCCCTTGCCAAAAACCAGCCAAGGAAGACTGGATCATGATGGTCCTCCCTACAACTAATCGTGAGGTGCACACTGAATCAGCATTTAGTTCTGTTGTGCATGAAGTTGCTGTGAGTCTAGGGCAACTTACTGGCAGGAAACAGCCACCATCTAGGCTCGTGGGAAGAGAGGTGGCCCATGGGACACAGTCCCTCCAGGTACACCACGTCTTTTGGGTTGAGCTGCTTGTATGCTTTGGAACTGTGTCAATATTTCGTTATGTGGCTGAAAGGAGATCCTCCTATTTGTAGACTGTTGATTAGGACGTAGTTAGTAACCAAGCCTGGGTTGTTAAGAGCCCTGGTGGCATAGTGAGTTAAGTGTTGAGTTGCTAACGGAGAGGTCTGTGGTTTTAACCTAGAGTTTCGTGTAGGAAGGAGGAGGCAGTCCTATAAAGATTCATAGTCGCAGATGTTTTGTAGCTACTACAGCCGAGTTAGATTGATTATAGGGATTCTTAGTTATAATTGCTTTTCTTGTATCTCTTTGCCAAAATGTAAGGGAGTCACTCACTTTACTGAGGAAAAATGGCTTTGTGACAGGTCTGAACAGGAATCCTCTCCCCAAATTCCTAATTCCTCTAGACAAGAATAGCTGGTAAAAGCGTGGGTGTTTTTGTAGCTGGCATTTCTAGATTGGGTCCATACAGGATGAAAATGTCATTTTCCGGACTCTCTTACACACTTGATCAGCGTTGGCCCACCTTAAGCCAGTCCTGGGGTAGTGGTCTAGCCTGTCCACACTGCATTTCTGTTACTCCTTCTTCGCTTGTACTTTTTGATCTCTTGCTCTCCTTTATTCATCTTGTGTGGGCACTGCAGGCTGCTATGTAGAGGCCCAGAGATGGGGTGCAATTATCAGATGTTTTTAGATGGTGTTTCCAAAGCATCCTCTGTGGTTGGGTTTAATGAGAAGTGGTACAGCCGAGTTTTGAAGAAGCTCCGCTTTGGAGCCAAATCATTTGTCCGTGTCAGGTGCTGATCATAAAATCTGGTATTGCTGGCGGTAGTATTACATAACGACCTTTAAAGATCACAGCAGTGGTCGGGAGGGAGGCGCAGGGCCGGGGTAGTGTTTCGTTCTGTGGTGCATGAGTTTGCTATGAACTTGAAACCAGGGAACTCAAGGCATGCCGTTCGGATTCACCCACTGATCTTAGGGAGACCATTTTCTCCTGTGTGATTTACAACCCTTGGAAAACCCTTGGAGGGTCAGCTATGAGTCAGTTCTAACTCATACCAACTAACAGTTGCTGTTGAGTGGACTCTGCCTCCACAGAGTAGAAATGGGCTCCTTCATACTGTCGGTGGTGGGTGTAGAACTCCTGGACTCTCTCACAGTACTGCTGAGTGAAGTCAGCCTCCAGGCCTTTTGCTTAACCGTACATGTGCTAATCACGTGCCCCACAAAGTGCCTCCTATGTTCTGAAGCACTTTGTGAAGTACTTGGTAATAGCGGGGATGGTAAACTACCCAAAGCTGATTGATTGATTGATTGCTACTAGAAGTTCCTCAGGGTTTTATTATTTTTAATAAAGCTTAGAAAATTTTAGGTCATCTGGTCATTGTAAAACACGGGTAAAATAAAATCACCCCATTGACAGTGGTCGCATCCATGTCCATTTTACAGGGCGTGCAGTGTGCGTGGTGAACTCATTGGATTCACACTGTTGGCACTGGATGAGCTGAGTACATGATCATTTGTGTAAAGAGGTGTCATTCTTAGGATATTGTGTAGCATCATTGGCCAGCACCTGCTAGGTGCCCCCCTCATTCACTGTGACTCCCAAGAATGCCTGTGGCTCACAGTGAGGTCATTGACAGTCTCCATTAGCTCACTTGGAGTAATAGATCGCTAGGCCTCTTCTCTGTTTTGACTTGAACCAGAAGTTCTTTTGTGACACATCCATGTCCCAATTGATGCCGTACAGAGAACACTATGCTTTTCCATCATGGCATATTTGCATCATGATTGACGTATGACATGTGTACATTGATTGTGAAAACCAGAAATTGAATGTAATCTGATTGAGCAATTATCTTGTAATTAGGACAAAAGGCAGAGGAGGAAGGCATGGAAGATAATGGCCTGGAGGACGATTCCAGAGATGAACAGGTGTGTATGCTGTTGACTGTAAAGGTGACAGAGGGTAGCTCTGTACTCTGGCCCTGTGCTCACTGGTGGTTTTTTGTTTTTTGTTTTTGTTTTTGTTTTTTCCCTTATTCCAGGAGGATATGGAAACTGGTTTGGAGAACTTGCAGCACATCGACATGATGGATATTAGTGTGCTAGATGACAGTGAAGTTGACAATGGCAGTGCTGCAGACTTCGGGGAGGATGGCACGGACAGCATCCTGTATTCCCTGTGTGACAGCAAAGACTATGTGACTGCACAACTGAGACAGCTTCCTGCTCAGCTTACCGAGCACACTGTGGGTAACTCGGAGGTGTGGTGACATTGTAGCCAGTGTGGCAGTGTGCTTTTATAAGAGGAAAACACAACGATAAGAGGGTTAGACCACATCCAGTCCAATTGCAGTAGGCACTTAATTGGGCAACAGGACCTTGGTGGTAAACTGGATCCATTTCAGTACTCTACTCCTCTGGTCGGCTCAGATGTACTAGAGAATACATTCTAAGCTTAGCGTTAGCTCTAAATTAAGAGGTTAACATGATTGATAATATTTCCTTTTACTGATTAAGCTTAAACTGTTGAGTATGTACAACAAAACATAAACCATTTGAAATTCTATATATGTACATTTCGGAGTTCATGGGCCGATTATATTCTTGGAATTGTGCAGCTGTTCTTACCTCCTTTTCCATGTTTCTCTCATTAACGTAAGTTCGCTGTTCCCTAATCATCTCACCTAACCTTTAAAGTTGCACTTACCGGTTTGATTCCATATAGGTAGCTCCTTGAAGGTAACTCCTTGAGTTGGCATTTTTTACTAGTTAAACTGATCTCTTGTTTGGTTTAAAGAAAACTAGAGAAGGCATCTTTGTTTTAAGGTATAAAGATTGTCTCAACAATGGTTTTGAGGAAATTTGTCTGTAGACTCTGGTATCAAAACGCTGAGTATTGGTAAGCGGACACTATCCAGTTCTGGATTGATAACTGGACGCGTTGTTTTCTTCCACGCATTCCATTTCTTCCTCTTAGTCCTGGCTCACCTACCTCTCTGTCCTAGTATTGAAATAGTGTTGAAAACATACTTGCATAACCCCATGTGCTTGCTCCTCCCTTGCTCTTTCTGCCATCTTTCCGTGCCAGCTACATTGACGAATCTGGAATCATCAGTGATCACCGAGCAGGGAACATTTTGTTGTCAACCTCATACACAGGTTGAACAAGTGTGTTTTCAGCTGCAGATTTGATTGCAGCTTGGAGATCTAGAACAGTGGCAGAATCATCTCCTGGCCCAGCAGTTTTTGGTTTTATTGTGCTGACGCCCCCAGTTGGCATCATGGACCATGAGGAGGCAAGATGAAAGCACACAGGAAAAATCCTGGGAGTCTTTCTCTAGGGATGTAATAAACAGTGCAAATAAGATGCCTCAGTGGGCTGTTAAAAAAAATTTATGCAAATACTATAGTAGGAAACAAAAGTTGTTCTTAACCTTACTATCCTGTTAATAAGACTTTAGTATACCTGAGAGCAGATACGTAACACAAAACCGTAATAGTAATGGGAAAAGATAACCTGCTGGCTCAGCAGCTGAGTGACTGACTAACTGCTGGAAAGGTTGGCAGTTTGAACCCACCAGTGACTCTGTGCGGAAAAGTCCTGGCCTTCTCTGCCAGGTAGACGCAGTATTCTCTGATATGTTAACCTTCGGAACAAAGGGGCCTTGTAGGAATGAACCTCGGTCAAAAATCAGGTCCTGAGCTGTCAGTGTTTCACATATTCCCACCCCCGACCAAAGGTTGACACCAAGCACCTGACTTCACCCCCTCTTAGGGTGACAGGTACTCCTTTGTGAGAGCTGTTTGCAGAACGTCTCCAGGCTTGCCACATTTCATTCATTGACTGAAACATCTAGGCTGTAGGTTCAAATTTGCTAGGTGCTTCAAGATCCCCCTCCCTTTTTTTTTTAATGTGTGTGTGTGTGTGTGTGTGTGTGTGTGTGTGTACTGTCAAATCAGATCTGACAGGTGCAGGAAGAGATTACCCCTCCTTCTCCAGCAGAGCATCTGGTGGATTTAAACCACGTACTTCTGGGATTGCAGTGAAGATCCTTTTTTTTTTTATTAAAGATTTTTTTTAATGCAACATATATATTTTTTCACAGCATATTCTTTCCATTTAATTTTTTCCCTATTCATTCATTGTTGTACATTTTTCTCCATGCTCACCCCTCCCCCCAATTCGCTTTTCTTTTTGAAAAGGGAAAAAAATTCTTTGCATTGTTACTACAATCCCTCTCTAAGACCACCGTGTACTTTTTCTGTAATTTTGTCATGAAAACACCTAATTCTGTATTCCTTTTATCTGTTTCAACGTAGTAAACATTACTTATCCCCTCTTAGGATCCTCTTAACCCTGATGTCAGTTCTGTTTTACAACAGTGGCACTGTACAGTATTTGTCCTTTTGTAACTGAGATAGTTCCCTCAGCATAATGTCCTCCAAGGTCACCCATTTTGTATAGTATTTCATGAGTTCTTATTTTTCAATGCAGCATAGTATACCATTGTGGGAGTATACCACAGCTGCTCTATCTATTCGTTTGTTGATGGACACTTGGGTTATTTCCAAGTCCTTGCTATTGTGAACAAAGCAGCAATAAAAATGGCTGTGCATATATCTGCTTTTGTGGCAGTTATGGTCTATTTGGTGTATATTCCCAGTACTGGAATTGCTGGGTCAAATGGTATCTCTGTGTGCAACTTTTTGAGAAAACGCCACACCACCTTCCACAGTGGTTGCACCATTTTACACTCCGACCAACAGTGAATAAGGATTCCAGTTTCTCCACAACCTCTCCAGCATTTGTTGTTTTCTGCTCTGTTGAATTTTGCTGCTATTACTGGGGTGAGATGATAGCTCATAGTTGTTTTGATTTGCATCTCTCTTTAGAGCTAGGAGTTTTGAACATTTCTTCGTGTGCTTGTTTGCCATCTGAATGTCGTCTTTGGTGAAGTGTATCTTCATATCCAGTGCCCATTTTTCAATTTAGTTGTTTACTTTTATTCAAGATCTTTTTTGACTCATGACATAGGCTGTGCCTATTGGAGCAGGTGGGTTCAAACCTCCGACCTTTTGGTTAGCAGCCAAGCTTTTTATTATTACACTAATAGGGCCTTTTGGTTCAAACCTAGGAAAGGTACTAAGGGCAAACAAGGTTCTCTTTGTATTTCACATAAAAGGGCTTCACATTCAATAATTTTCAGACCATAGTACTTTAAGGATGTGTTGGAAAAATGCTGATAAATAGAAGTGACCTAGAAGGAAGTGCCAGGTTACCATAAACCCAACTATTAAGTCAACTTGCACTCAGGGCCTTCTAGTACAGAATGGAACCTTCACTTAGGGCTCCCAGAGCTGTCATCTTTATGCCTCCTGCCTCGTCTGTATCATGTGGGGCATCTAGGAGATTCCATTCACCACCTGTTTTCTTACCAGCTTGTCACTTTAACCGGTGTACCACTCACTAGGTCTTCTCTGCCTGGTTAGTGCTCTTTTAAAAAGTATTGCAAACAAGGCAAGGTGGAGGGGTTACAGAGTCTGTCGTGGATTTCCTCTGGGTCAGATGGGCCCCTGATAGAAACATTTAGAAAGTGGATTTGTTTATTGACTCAGATTTGTAGACATTGCAGCAGAGTCTGGGTGGTGGGCGAGAAGTCAGATGACAGAATAACCCAGCTGTAATGCCCAGCTTGGTAATAGCACGTGCTGGGAGGGGAGTAGACCCACAAGGCTGCCGGAAGAAGAGCAGAGTGTTGGCTTTGACGTTATTGTGTGTAGTCTCCATGAAGTTATCTTCCATCTTACTTGCAGGTGGATGGAGAAGGCTTCGGGGACACATTGGATACTTCATCGCTAGACTTCAAAGTAACTTCGGTGAGTCTCCTACCTGATTCTGTGCTGTGAGGAGGTGTGTGTGTGTGTGTGTGTGTGTGTGGTATCGGGTCCTGGTGGTGCCCTAGAAAACCCTTTGAGACAGATCTATTCTGCGACACTTAACAACAGCTGAATCAAATGTTAAGAGTAACAGATAAGCAAGAAAAATCTCAGTGTGCAGTGAACGAGATAGGCATATCTAGAAAGCAAAGTGGTTCAAGAGCGGGCACTGTACTGGCCATGTAGGGTCCTTTGGACTGGTATGAAGCTCAGGAGTCACCCCAATGAGGTGGGAAAGGAGAATTGGGGAACTATGTGCTCTGGCCCAAAGACAGCAATGGGTTCACTGCCAGCTGCAGAGGTTAATGAAGTGTGGGGTGTGGTGACAAACTGGGAGACTCAGAGCATTACTGCTGTCTGTCTCCTTGGGCCAGAGAGAAACTAGCAGATTGAATCTGTCTTTAACAAATTAGGGTTGAAGGCTTTTTGAGTCGGCGTGGTGTTTTTGAAGGGGATGTTTATTTACTCCAGGTCTTTGAGACAGTTCAGTCATGTCATTGAAGCGGGACCCTTAAAATTTTTAAATTTGGGGGAGGAGATCAAGAATGACAACCAGAATGGGAACTCTGCAATGAGAGGGTTGGGAGAGGTGTGGTGGGGAGCTTGGTGGGACTGTGGAGACCCTCATGTAGGGAGCAGGCCATCAGCTGCTGGCTTTGCATAATTCAAAGCTGCTTGCCGTTTAGAATCCAGAGGCAAATAATTGCTCTGCAGCTCACACTCTAGTCTTGTTGCTTCACGGAGAGATTAACTTTATAGCAGGACTTGAAATTGTAGCTTTTTCTGTTCTGGATTTCCTGCGATGAACCACTTTGAAGCCCTGATTTTTTTAACTCTTAACTAGTGACATTGTTAGCTCTGAAAGGGAGACCCTGATTGTGCAGTGCTTAACCATTCAGTAGCTAATGGAGACCAGCGGTTCACAACCTCTAGCTTCCATAAGGTTGACAGTGGGTGTTTGCTGGGGAAATTGACCTATGGTTTAAAAGTACTGTGTAAACTCTTTTTTTTTTCTTCTTTTTCTTCTTCTAAATAGGATATTGAAGAACCTCTGTTGGAGCCAGGTACTAATGAGAAACACGTTAGTTATGGTTTGCAAGCTTTCATGCTACTGTTCTTTTGTAAGCTGTCTATATTTAAAGCAGTACAGGATCTTGTAAGTTGTTTTATTGGTGGACAATCCAGATCGGACAAGGATCAGAGATTGGAAACCCATTCATATCACCAGATCTGTGGAATGCTGTTAGGCTATCTTGAGGTCAGACCTATTTGGTGAGATGGAGGGATGGACTTTTTCCCATCTCTAACCACACAGTATGACCTTAAGTCATTTCCCCCATGATGCTTCCATGTGTTGCTACACATGAAACAGATCTTGTGATATTTGTGGCAGCCATTGTGGTTAGTGCAGTCAGGGCAGGCTGATAGCAGTGAGTGGAGCAGGGCACTTCTAACCCTTGAAGTGACTGGATTCTAGAAGACGAAACCATTTCTTCAGAAAAATTTCCAACATTTTATTCCCCTTCTGGACTTCGTGTCTCTCCCACCATCGGACGAGTTTCTGTTTTCATGTTGGACGGTTCTGTTAAAAGAATTTCAAAGCTCTGTGGAGATTGAGCTGTTCCGTGAATGGTTATTGGTTCGGTTCAGCACCTTGGACTTTGGAAACTCAGTTGGAAGACCCAGACTTGAACAAGCACGTGAAGAAGACTCCTGCAACAGCCCAGTGGTTATAAGTGTTTAAATCTTTGGGGGTCCTGTTTCTTCCTTGTAGCATAGAGGCTTGATGCAGTAGTCAGTTGGCGTGCAGGTAACTATGTGTAACTTTGGGTTTTCCAATCTCTGTGTAGCTAGCCATTCTCCTCATGTTAGTGTGGCAGCCGTGCCAGATCCGCATTTGTGATTGCTTTATTTCCCTGGTAATTAAACCTTGTGCCATTCTATTCCTGTTAAATCCGTAGAAAATGAGAAAATACTCGACATTTTGGGGGAAACTTGTAAATCTGAGCCAGTAAAAGAAGAAGGTTCCGAGCTGGAGCAGCCATTGGCACAGGATACAAGTAGCGTGGGGCCAGACAGCAAGCTTGCGGAGGAAGAGGACCTTTTTGACAGCGCCCACGCGGACGAGGAGCAGGAGGAGGGCGATTTAGATTTGGCCAGCGAGTCAACACACGCTCAGTGGAGCAAGGCAGACACCCTGTTAGCAGTAGTGAAAAGGGAGCCCGCGGAGCCGACAGGCGATGGCGAGAGCGCGGACTCTGAGCCCGCGGGGCTAGAGAAGCCAGTTGAGCAGAGTAGTAAAGGCCCAGAAGACGCGGACGCCTCCAGCGAGGAGGTGACCACGGAGGCGCCCCAGGAAGCCTCAAGCCCTGAGCCCAGAGATAGCAAAGAAGACGTGAAGAAGTTTGATTTTGAAGCTTGTAATGAAGTCCCTCCAGCTCCTAAAGAGTCCTCAGCCAGTGAGGGCGCTGATCAGAAAATGAGGTTTGTTTTTTCTCAGTTTTAGACCAGATGCTATCTTCTTTTCATTGGTCACTTAATGACACACATAAGCTGTTTGTTTTCTGCAATTGGCCATCGAGACTGATGCAGTCCTAGTTAATAACTTCTAAAGAGTGCTTTATTTCTCTTTATCTTTTAGTGGGTGATTGACCCCTTTCTTTCTCTCAACCTAACATGGTTGTGTTCTTAAATTGTTAATTATCTTCAGCTAAATTGAATTGACTTTTAAGAATGTCATTGCATTTTGGGGGAGGGAATTAGAATTCCAGTATAAGTTTGCACTGATGTAAAAATTTTGTTTCAGACTAATTTCCTGGTAGGTATTCAGTTTTAGCACATACACTTTAAATTTAGTTCCCATTCATTCTTTCCCTGTGTAACACAAACTTTTGTCTCTAGCTCTCTAAAGGAAGAAAAAGACGTAAAGCCTGTCATTAAAGATGAAAAAGGTAATGGATTTACTTTGTGGAGGAGAGCTTTCTGGGGCTTCCTTATTTTTGAGAGGGAGGTGCCTGCCACTGCCCACATTAAAGGTCCAGTGATTTGTTTTAATCTTAGAGAGGTTCTAGTACCACATTTCTCTGACAGTTTTTTGTACTTGGGTAGGAAGAGGATTGACCATCCAATAGTGAAAGAACAGGTCTTTGAAAACCCTATGATCACTGGAGAAACACCAGTAGCTGCTGGAGGGAGAACCTAGATTAGAAGTCACAGAAAATGACACATTGTCTGTACCAGGTCACTGAGTATAGCAGAGGTGATGAGGATGGCATGGGATAGGGCAGGGTACAGATCCATGGTTGATAGGGATGTTGTAAGTCCTAGCTGACTCTGAGGCCCCCAGCAACAATACAGGCCTCAGTCATGCAGTGCTGTTGGGACACTTCGTCTCCAGTGTAAGGTCTGTGCACACCGAACAGGACAAAACTTTTCTTGCTCAGTAATGAGAACTCTAAAATTCTTGTTAGAAAGAGGTTTTGCTTTGTTGTCAGTCAAGAAAAATACTGCAGTGTTAACACTGAGATGGACATGATTATTCTATGAGTAACGAAATGGTGAAATACATTGCTGCATAAGTAAATGTCTGAAGTGGTAAGCGTCTTAAGTTGAGGGTGGTTGGGATTCGCAGGGCGCTTCCCGTGAATGGCATGTTCCTGCTGTGCACTGAGGCGGGGGTCTTCTCCCTCTTGACCAGGTCGCGTTAGTAGCAGCTCTGGGAGGAACCTGTGGGTTAGTGGACTGTCTTCAAGCACCCGTGCCACCGACCTGAAGAACCTCTTCAGCAAATACGGAAAGGTATGCACTCGCTGTCTGCCGTCTCTGTTCATGCTCTGGGCGTGCTGTGTTCCTTTATAACACAAAACGGGCTCTGGTGGCACTGGAAGTCAGCTGTGTGACTCCAGGAGGAGAAGTGCCGCAGTCTGCTTTTGTAAACGTTTGTAGCCTTGGACACCCTGTCAGGTAGTTCTGTTCTGTCCCAGGGGTCTCTGGGTTGAACTCAGCTCGATGTCAGTGGCTTTGGGGTTCTTAAAGAATTGTGACTAGGCCTCTTCTAGTCTGTCCTATTGTTAGTTTAATAACATCTTTTAAAACTCTCTAAACAAGATCACATTCACAGAGCCTGGGCCTTTAGCTTCGGCATATCTTTTTTGAGAACCCCATTGTTGATTTGGACTTAATTTAGAAACGTATTTTCTGCACTAGTTCATTTTATTGGGGCTCCCCTCCTTTATTAAAAAGATAGCCCAGGAGAGTCACTGCAGTTTTGTGTAGTGCACTTTAGTTTAATGAGTTTGTTAGAACAGGCATTTGAAAAAGCAAGTGCGTAGTTTACTGTTTTCTAGCATTCTAAGAATGTTGCTTGATAAATAGAACGTGCTGGTGGTTTGAGAATAAATCACTGTCACACTGCTCTTGGAAGAAGCAAAACAAACCATAGTTGAGGAGGAACTTGACAGATGTTTTAGTGACTCCATCACCCTGGAATTAGGTCATGGCGTAGTCTTACTGTAAGTCTTTGATGCCTCCTGGTCTCCTGGGTGAAGTGGCCCCCAAGGGATGTGAGCTTGGTGTCCCCCCAGGTCAGGTTGACACGTGGCTTCTAGGCAAGGTGCCAGAGCTGTCTGCTGCTGTGTGCCACTCTCCGGGCGGGGCTTCTGTCTCAGTGTTGTTATGTCACTCTGTCAGATGTTCGTATTTCAGTGATTTAAGCAGGTAGTCAGAAAAAAGCAGCCGTCACACTGAATTCTTAGCGCAAGTCTTTAAGAAGGGCTTTGAAACCCATTACAGCATCTCACTCCTCTTAAAAGCTTCCAGTCCGAAGGGGTAATCTGCCTTCTAGAAGTTAGAAATAGCATATCCTGCAGGCCCTCGTGTGCATGCTGAGGAAGATGGTGCCATGAGGGGGGTTTAGAGCTTGGGGACAGGCTCAGTGAGCCTCGATGGGATGGGACATTTCAGCTGAGACCTGAGTGATTCTAGAGCACGCCCTGCCATCAGAGCTCTGCTGTGGACACTGGGGACAGGACAGGAGAGGGCCTGGCAGACGAGCCACAGGTACACACACTCAGATAATTTAAACTTGAGCCTTTCCCAGATACTGCCTGTGTAAATGTGAGTAATACCCTGAGAGAAGTCAGGGTTCCTCTCCAGCCCAGCTCCTGACCTGTGGAGAGGGAAGGACAGGAAGCATTGTGTCTGTCAGGGCTGACCTGCGCTGGGCACAGTGCGCACAGGGGACGCCTCGAAGGCCACGTACTGCCCCATCCACTCAGTGCTCGAGAACAAGAAGTGGATAGGCCCTGCCTGGCCTCTGAGACCCATAGAGGGAAACGTGGCTTGTTTGAGTAGACTGAGCCAGAGGTGGACCAGAAAAACGAGAAGGCCGGGCTCCTAGGTCTGGGACTCTGTCCAGTTCCTAGCACTGCTAGTCCTGAAGGCACAATTGTGTTTTGTGCTGTTGTGACTCTGGGGCTTTAAGCCCACCTTCTGACTCTTCTCTTGATTTCCACTTGTTGTTTGGAATCTTTTTCTTTCTCGACCTGTTTTTAAATTTTCTTTGTGATTTTATTTGGTCTCCTTTGTTTGCTGTTTGGTTTTTTGAAAGAAATTTTAGTACATGTATTAACTGGTCTCTCTCTAAGTGAAATTCCAACAGCTCGTACAGGATTTAGGCAGCAAGCTTCCACTTCTCCCATCCTAGCCTCTGGGTCATTGTTCTTACTCCTGTCACGTCTGTGTCACGAACCACACATGTAAAGTCCTGGTCTCTGCCCCCGTGTTTCTTGTTCTCAGTGCTGTTCACCCTTTGTGTAGCAGAGTTGGATGTCCATTTGGTGTCATTTTCCACATTCTGCAGGGACCTGGCAAAGGCTTCTTGTAGGGTAGGGATTCTGTTGCTGAGCTCCTGTGGCCTTTTCCTCTCTGGGGACATCTGTTTTGTCTTTTGGGAGGCGGTTTGCATTGGGTGTAGAATGTTGTGCTGACTTTTTTCTCTTGAGTCAGGAGATGTGTCCGTGTCTTCTGGATGAGAATCCCCAGTCTTTTGTTGTGTAGGATCTCTGCTCAATTCCATGCAGTCTAGTTTTCATCTCTGGCAATTTGATTTGGGATTTCAGGATTTTCTTGGTGTTCCTGGGCACACTCAGTCATCCTTCATCTTGGTCACATAAGTCCTCGGGATCAGAATCCACTAAAATAGCTCAAGTGATGCCTTGTTGTTTTCTAGCACCGTTGCTGGGTCTTTTTCTGTTGAATATTTTCCCTGCATCTTGGGCCTAGTGTTCTTGTCTCTCTGTATGATGAGTGAGTTGTATTGTGGATTTCACCTTCCTGGGTGTTGGTTTGGGGGGACCACAGGTAGATCACTTGGATAGAGTCTGCATTGTGATGCCTTGTTGCATTGTGATGCCTTGTTGTCAAGACCGGAGCAGCTGTTACCTCAAGGCCAGTCTGCCCACCTGTCCCGCCCAAGAGGACAGAGAGAGCTCAGGTGGCCTGGGGGTAAGGAGTCACTGTCGTCACAAAGGCGGTTTGAATGCTGGCTTCGGCAGCACATATAAAATTGGAACGATACAGAGAAGATTAGCATGGCCCCTGAGCAAGGAGGACATGCAAATTCCTGAAGCCTTCCATATTTTTTGCAACAAGTGAATATGATTGTGAGACATTTCTTGCTGAGTCTATTGTTTCTAAGTAAGAGAAAATTATGTAACCTTGTAATGCAGACATAAATTGTTCGTTATACAGATATTTTAACCTGGGAGTTTATTGTGTTAGAAGACAGTAAATTTGATTTTATTTGGAAAGAAAAACAACAAACAAAGGCGGTTTCAGTTCACCAGCTGCTCTTAGCTGAAAGATGGGAAGTTTCCAACCGTGTGGCTTCCAGCCTCTGAAAACTCTCTGAAGGTTCCACTTTGAATTAGTTCTGTCTCAGTGGCAGTGAGTTGGAGAGGGTTTTGGGTTTTCTACTGAAGCCACAAAGGAAACTTGACTATGGATGCTGTGGGGATTACAGCTTGTTCACTCTGGCTGGTGGTGCCCTGAGTGCTTCCAGGGGTATTACCTCTGCTCCTCACAGGTGGAGGAAGGTTTGCTCACATGTGGGCTGGTCTGCTGGTCAGTGCTCCACTGCCATTAGGGGCCCCCTCTGCTGATTCAGGGGTGCTCTGTGTGCAGCCCTCTCTAGTGCTCTGATCTGTGATTGCCCGCCTGTCTCCTCAGACAGCTCTGGATCCTCGTCACTTCAGTCCTGTCTCTTGCCCCGGGGTCTGGAGACCAGGCTCTAAAGTGAAGTCACTGTCCTGATGTCTGAAAATTGGTTACCTTGGCTGGCATCTCCTGTGAGCCTGCACAGAGCCCCGTGGGCCAGGCTGAGTTAGTGTCGAGGTCCCCTTGGCTACGCCGGCTAAGGAGGCTTTGGAGGAGGTGTTCAGAATGGGAGGGATGATTCCCCCCTTTAATTGGTGCAGTAATGTAACAAACCGTTTGTCAGTTGAACAGTTTGTACATGAATGATTCAGTGACATTGATCGCACCCATCATGCTTTGCATCTGCCCTCAGTGTCCCTCTCAGATCATCTTTCCACTGCCCACAGAGGCATTCCTAGGACGGGAATGGTTTGGCTAATGAGCAGTGGCGTTTAATTGTTTGGTGTGGTTTGCACTACAAGGGATAATCTTAGAAGTGTTGTAATCAACTAAAGTTAATTAGAAACAAATTAATAACTCAGAATGAAGCACTAACAGTTTGTAGAGAAGTTAAACGCAGTACGTGGGGGTGCTTCTCTTTCTTAGTTAGCACTGTTAGCGTTATTTGTCTAAGAAAACAACAATGTTCTTGTTTGCAAAGGTTGTTGGGGCCAAAGTGGTCACCAATGCCCGTAGCCCTGGGGCGCGGTGCTACGGCTTTGTCACCATGTCGACTGCGGATGAGGCTACCAAGTGCATTGGCCATCTTCACCGGACAGAGCTGCATGGAAGGATGATCTCCGTGGAGAAGGTGAGGTGCCACTTGCATCGGTGATATTTGCAAGTGTACAAATCGCTTCACCCTCATTCCTTGCTGCTTACATGTTTTGGTTTGGTTCTTAAGGCTAAAAACGAACCTGCTGGGAAAAAACTGTCCGAGAGGAAAGAGGGTGATGTGAAGAAGGAGAAGACATCTAGTGCCGACAAGCATCATGCGGTGGAGGTCAAAGTGGAAAAGTAACGTGACTTTCAAACCCTTTCTCTTGGGGTACCTGGGAGGGGGAGGGTAAGTGACCAGCTGTCACTTACACCTGAGCTCCATTCCTTCCTATACACGCCCAGCCTCTTCACGGGCTTATTAAGTTATCGAGATTTTCCCATCTTTCTGTGTTTGGCTTTGTATGTGCATTTAGTGAAGGGAAGGGGCCCTGGTTGGTATTTTGAGCCCACCTTGTGACTCCAGGGTAGAAACTTCTTTCTGTTCTGTGAGGATGCAAACATTGTCGTGTGAGTGGCTGTGCGTTGAAGTCAATTCAGCGACAACCCAAAACTAGTCAGAGGAGATTTAGGGAATCCAGAAGACACGTTTTTGTCCTGATCTAACTAGTTGTTTAAGAGAAAGACATAGAAAATGAAAGAATTGTAATTGTAGCTGGTTCTTAAACAGCCACTGGGCCCCACAAGGCTTCTCAGACCTCAGACTCCCTTCCTGACCCACACTAACTGGTGTGTGTGCTTGGCCGGGGAATGCAGCCTGACCTGGTCTGGTGTCCAAGTGAATGGCCTCCAGCTGGTTGCGCATATGTGTACATGTGTCCATCCAATGCCAAGAGTGACTGTTGGCCTCAAGAATTTCATGTCGTCATCCCCAGTGATTATCTGGGGGTTCAGTGAACCCAGGGTGCCTCGCTCAGTAGTTGGAGCACCACAGGTCTGTGGTTGTGTTTTTATTGACAGAGAGCTTCCTGTCGTTAATCAGCAACTGGGACTTGGCCTTTGAACATCACATTGCTTGCATACACTGGCAAAATGGGAGGTTTAATTTAGTGGAGGGAGAGTTGGGGATGAGCCTCTTAAAAGAGGGAACTTTGGTGGTATGGTCTGTAGGGAGTTGGCAGTGCTTTGAATCCACCAGCAGCTCTGCTGGGCGAAGCTTGGCTGTTTCCACCTGTGCCACTTCCAGTCTCAGAAAACCCTCTGCAGGGGCAGCTGTGAGGTGGGTCCAGCTCAACTGCAGTGAAGGGGTTAGAGTTTGAAGAAAAATTAGACACTCTTTAGAGTGTCAGTCTCGCAGTGATTCCATTTTTGTCTGTTTTATGCAAGAAAATTGTAGTTCAGTAGGTTGACCTGACAGCCTCGTCAGAACTCACAAGTAGAACTAGTTTTCGAGGGGGTCACTGCCACTCTTCATCTGGGCCAAATTGGACACAACATTCTTGTGAGTAATGGGTGTCAGACTAGCTTTCATGGCCTTTAGAGGAAGACCAGTAATTTTATTGGCAACTTTTCCAGAGAAACACCTCCTGTCAGCATTACTGATGATCGGTCTTGGGAGGAAATGGGCAGCAACTAGGGACAGCTTGGTGTTTCCAGTGTGTTGGAAGTGCATTTTATGCTTCTATTTTCTGGTCACACATTGAGACATATTTGTAGAGATGGGAAGATGGTAATGGCAGGCTGATTCTGGACAGTCCAAAGTGACCGTTTAGTACTAGCCATCGCACAGTCTTGGGAAGTGAGGCGGAAACCAGCTCAGACACCTGCCTTGCCCCAGTCAGCTCTGTCAGGAAGTGGCTAAAGGCATAGGGCTTATTAAAACAGGGCTCTTGGCCCTTAACCGCAACTCAAGTTAAAACCAATGACTTTCAGGTTGCTTTCCTAGGACTTTACAACTCGTCACAACTCTGCAGAGTATGTAAGTATAGGGTTTTTTAGACTGTGACCTCTTTGAAGCAGATCCACCAGCCTGTCTTCAGAGGCCTCTAACCTTTTGCCTAATACAGCTTAGTCATGTGTCCAGCTTTGTGACTTGAGTTATATTTACCACATAGGGCAGCCGTCATCAGGGTTTATTTATTTATTTTGAATAAAAGCCCTTTGGACCTTAGCAAACCACTTAGAGTTGTCAGTTCTCATGTACCCTGTTGTATAATGTGCATTTTAAAAAATGACATGAATATTATTTAAAACATGCAAAGACTCCCCGTTAAAAACCCCCTCTGTGTTTTGGTAGTTGATGATGGAGAAGAGCTGGGAGGTCCCCTAGACCTGGCCATCTCTGACAAATGTTGATGGGGCAGGACCCGTAGGGCCCAACTCTCCTAATGCATGGCCAGCATTTAATGCCTGTGGAGTTTAATAGCCTGAGACAAACGTCTTAGGGGGATGTGGGAGATGGGTTTGAATAGCTGAAGTGATTTATTTCAGCTCTTAAAATTAAATTGCCTTGCCTTGAAATGTTGCTAATAAATTCCATAGTCCCGGGCACATAACAAGCTACTTTACCCCCCCAGACGTGTGCAGAAATTACTGGACGAGGTATGTTGGTTTTCTGGGGCGAAGGCTTATTGCTCATTAATTCCATGGGAATTTCACATCCTCTATTGCTCCCTCACTCTATATATTAGACTCTCAATTCAGAAAACTATTTCTTAAATATAATGTAATTTTTTTTTAAAGAGGTAATCCATGCCTAGCAGGGTTGAAAATCTGCTTCTGGTTTTAAATTTTGCCCTTGTGTAGTCAGTTCTAGCAGCTTGCATGTGTGTCTTGTGCACATCTTGCATTTGTGGACAGCCGCCCCACAGGCCTCCGGCCTCGGCCAGTATGTGTCTAGATAGACGTGATAGTGCAAGCGGAGACTCTACCCACACGTAAAGTGTCCTTGGTTTCCAGACCATCTCCCACCTGGCCACAGCCAGGTGTGCTTCCATCTGTGTGAATGATGTGCGTAGGAATCCAAGTGCAGCAGAATTTCAGCTATTTGAATTTGTTGACCATATTTTCAAACAGAACTGCCATTAAGAAGGAAGAGAAGACTGAGAGAAAGGAGGAAAAGAAGCCAGAAGACATTAAAAAAGAAGAAAAAGACCAAGATGAGCCCAAACCGGGAACTCCCAGTCGGTCCAGAGTCACAAAATCAGGTGATTGGGGTGACAGATGTCTGTGGGAGGGGCAGCTAGGGCTCCAGAGGAGGTGTGGCGCAGCCTCGTGGGGTGACCTTGCTCTTGGCGGGTGCTCCCGAGAGGTCCAGCTGGGGTGGGGGGCTGGAGACTGCACAGCAGGAGCTCTGACCTGCCTTTTTTCCCTTCCCTCTTTTATCTAAACTTCTGATTGTGTCTCGTGTAAAACTTAGGGAGCACACTTGTTTTCCATGTAGCACTCTGCACGTTCTGTTTGGTGGCGTGGATTACAGTCCCCTCCCGGTAGCTGACCTCTTCCCGCTGTTTCTAGTTTCTCTTCATTCCTGTCCCTTCTGCCTTCTGAGCTTTATTCCTGGAAAAAGGCTGCTCTTTTGATTTCACACACTTGGTTGGGAGGAGTACCCTCCTGGGGTTACTGCCACCATATAGGTTTGTCTATTGTGTTTCTCAAAGTTTTCATGCTGATTTTAGAAGTCCCAGCAGGGCCTTGGTTAAGATTTTGCGTTTTGTTGCTCTTCACTGTGCCCGTGTGCCCTACTGCCCCTCCATCCCGTTCTGTATGTTTATTGTTGAGCTTGGGAGCTGGATTCTTGCTCTTCCTGTCTTTAGCTGAGTGTAGTGGGCAGTCAGCATGAGGCGGCTGCCCTGGCTCCTTGTAACCGTCTGTTGCCAGCTGATGCTTCAAGGCTCTTGGCAGGTTTTCTTTGACTTTGATAGAACCGTGTAAAGCAAAAAAGGTAGGGGACATCTACAACCTTAGAGCATCTTTACTCACCGACGTGATTGTAATTGGGAGCATACCATTTAATTTAGATGGTCGTTTTCTTCAGTTTATTGTGCTCTGCATCTTAGAATTTGGATGAGATTCCACAGAACATTTTGTACCAAAAAAATTAAACCAATCCCTACAGAACACAAAAAACAAAACAAAAAACCAACCATCTGGAGCACTGAAATTTGGTACAGCACATTGAACGTTAGATCTTAAGTGTTCAGGGTAATTTAGCAGCAATCTCCTGAGGAATGGTCTTTTACAACACGTCCAAGTATTGTAAATCTCCCTAAATAAGTTCTTGTTGCAGTGGATAGATCCTGGTGGTGTGCTGGCGGGAGCGCGGGCCAGTGGGAAGCCCCCCCTTCTGTGCCGGGTGAGGGATGCTCCCACTCACCCCCACGCTGTGCACATGGGCCCCGACTCTGCAAGATTTTGCACATGTGTGGGAGGAATCAAAATCTTCTTATCCTTGAGCTACTAGAATTCCATGTGAAGGGCAAGGAATTGCGGGTGGACGTGTGCATGAGTGAATGGCATCTTTTCTTGTAAGACTTGAGGAAATCACAGGTTTTTTGCCACTGCGGAGACTGGTCCAGCTGCCTCATACCTCGTGTCAGTGGATCTCTGTGCACACTGCAGGCCAGGCAACTGAGATACAAGCAGAGGTCCCAGAGGGCAACACCAGTTGTCTGGCATGTCCCACGGGTCCCACACACAATTCTTGACCAGGTGCAGTGACAGTTGGGATCTTGGCATGTTTGATGGGTGTTTGTGTTTCTCCTAAAGGAAGCAGAGGAATGGAGCGGACAGTTGTGATGGACCAGTCAAAAGGCGAGCCCGTCATCAGTGTGAAAACTACAAGCAGGTCAAAAGAGAGAGTGAGTATTCATCTAACCGTCTCTTGACCAACCTCCTCTGGTGAGGGTTGTAGAGCTGTTTTGAAGATCCTTTAGTCTTAGAAGAGGGCATATGTGGTGGCCCTTTAGGTTTTATAAGCACAAGTGTTCACCTCTCAGGCTACGCTCCACTGAGGCCCTGCCCTTTTGCTCACTTCTTTGTTGAGTGGTTGCAAATTCTTCAGCAAGTGATGCCACCTGGAAAGAGAATAGATTCACACAGTGCAACTCTCCTGGAGGAGAAGGGGCAAGGCCCAGGCTTTTAAGCTGCGAGGGCAGTGGATGGTGGATCAAATTTCTCTGTTGTTGTTGTTGTTATGTGCCGTCGAGTCGCCTGC